GGGTGATGGGTATTGAGGAGGGCACCTTTTGGGATGAGCACTGGGTGTTGTATGGAAACTAATTTGACAATAAATTTCATATATTGAAAAATAAATAAATAAATAAATAAATAAATAAATAAATAAATAAATAAAAACTTAGAGAAAACCTAAGAGGAAGAGAAAGAAAAATGGTCTGCCTGTCTTACTCTGTATACTGACCAACAACCTGAGTCTCTGAAGCAACATTAAAGGTCATCTTCTAACATCATTTATAAAGGGAATAAAGGAGAATCAAAAGGATACAGGGAGGGAGGGAGAGAAAATTCTTTCAAAAACCTTTCAAGTGCTCACGCTGGTGAAAATCGTTGCAAGAAATCTGACAAAACCCCAACCAATACCGCAAACGCTATTCATTCCATTGGACAGAGAACAAAATGTCTTATGGAAGCAAACTCTCCCAACAACGCTTGATAAAAACCAGCAAGCAGGGGAATGGGGAAGAGAACATTACTGAGAGAAAACACTCCAAATCCAATGACTTATTTCTTGAGACTGTGAACTGGATGACATGTTTCTGGAACATTTGCTAAAATCTGGCCCAGAGTTGCTTACACGTGTTGAAAAATCAAACGACTAAGTCCTAGGTCATGATCTCGAGAGACGTGCTGTTTGCGGGCCACACAAACCCTGCACAAGTTACGGACAATGCCAGGCTGTTCCATGTTGCTGGAGCACTGGGCACGTCAGGGATAAAAAGAGAAAAGCGAGAAGGTCAGAGAAGTGGCCTGGGATGGATGTTTAGAAAGCTCATGTGCCAGGCTACAATGTTTGGCTGTTACTCATTATAGATGATGGAAAGTGACTGAGGACGTCTGTCACCCTGGATCTGTGCATTGCAAGGAAGATGGTAACTGACAAGCCAGGAAAGGGAGGCAGAGATGAGCCCAGAGGCAGAAAGGGCCAGAGGTGAGGTCCCAATGAAAAGGAAAACTGCGATCCCAAGTAAACCTATACTGGGTGGGAGTGGGAGCAAAGAGATGGACTGTAGTCCAATCGGAATAGACAAAGGCCGCCTTTAGCAAAGAGTGGAGAAAGAAGAAAGAAGGAAGCATTGGAGGATCCCGGGACACAACAGACTCAATCACAAGACAGAACAGGTTTGCAGAAGGCGACTGTAGTTCTTGACGTGTTGAGGCTGAGATGGTTGTAAGAAGAAAACAAAAGACTGAGATGGCTGTGGGAAGCCCAGTGAAGACCGTCCTCAGCAGAGCGCAAGAGAGCCATATGGTCGTGGATTCTGGAAGCGACAGTCAGGCAGACATGCAAGGAGAGTAGAAAGGGCAGGGCGAGGAAGGGAGCTGGGGGCAGAAACCAAGGAGGGGCCTTTAGAAACGGGATGAGAATCAGAACTCGGGGCTGTGGCAAAATAAAGAGGTGTGGTGACGAGCAAGGATCCAGCACTGCAGGGAGGTGAGCAGGTGAAGATTTAAGAAGCATCACTGGTGTTGACCATTTGGAAGGGGCCGGCGGTAACTCTGTGATCTCCTTGGAGCAGGAAAGGTGGAACCCAAGCTCTAAGCGGCCCCAGAGCGCATGGGTTCTGAGGACGCTGCCCCTTGTATGGAATCCTACTTGGCAATAAATGCATGGAGACTAAAAAACAATAGGAAGGAAAGGGATTTGGGTTTTCTCTTGTTGATTTGTTTGGCATTTTTTTAACATATAAAGAATATAAAAGAACACTTGGAACTTAGTAAAAGAAGCTGGAGAGGGGATGGAAAAGTCAAAACAGAAGGGAGATGACAGTCAATGAAGAATGAGAAGGAAAAGATCGAGGAATCCTTCACAACTAAATTCCAGTTCATTGAACAGGGTCTCTAGTGCGGTTGTGGTCTGAAGACAGAGACACGGCCTGCCTCTTGAAAGCTGTGGGTCTTTTGTTTACAAAGAATCATGGGAAGTGGGGGAACGCCTCACATTCTGGACCCTGTACCCATGCAATTCATGCTTTAGATTTGAGAGGGAGAAGCAAGGCAAGGAAAGATAGCACTGGTGTAAGAACTGAAATAGGGACTGATTCTGAATAGACGAGAACAACACTTACGTTTCCAAAGTATTTGTCCAGCAGCTCCACGTAACGATGCACAATCTCTAGCGTCAAGAGCTCATTGTCCTGATTTTCGACTGCGCAGCAAAAATATAAACTAGCATACCTTGGAGAGAAAAAAAGAAAGGAAGGAAGGAAGGAAGGAAGGAAGGAAGGAAGGAAGGAAGGAAGAAAGAAAAGTAAAATATGATGACACATCAAATAACCTGAAGTTGGTGTTTTCCGCAGTGAATACACAAAGTTACCTCTTCTTCAGAGAGTCTCCCCCAACCATCCAAATCAAAAAAGGAAATCATCATTCACCACACCCAATATGTTCCCAAAATGTGAAATAGAATATGTAAAAACATGGTGGCCATTGGGTTCTTTCTGTTAATTATATGAAGACTCTCAACACCATTTTACCCCTGGGAAACAGTCCAGTGGGGACAGAGTCCTTGGCCCACTGGAATGGGGGTATGCTCACGCCCCTCTCCCGCTTGTGAACTGTCCTTTCTAAACTTCAACCCCCTGACCAGGGCTCTCGCCTCGCACTGTGCTGACCTCTTTCTGTATGTGTCCCGCCTTTAGTCTATCCAGTCTACCCTCTGCAACTCTTTCTTCTGCCTAAAATACTCTTCCCCATCCCGTTTGTGTGGATAACTGCCTACATCTCCCTTAGCTCTGAACTTGGATGTCATTCCCTCTGGGAAATCTCCAACCTCTCCGACCGGACCAGATGCCCTGCTATGCACTCCTGTGCCTCTCCCATCAGAGCACTGCCCGTTTAGTGGCCTGTCTCTGCCCCACGAGATCAGTGGGTTCCCAAAGGCAGGTCCTCAGTCTGCCTTGCTCAGCATCATAAACCCAGGAGCTGCAAGTATCTGTTGAGAAAACTGCTAAAGCCTTTTCTTTATACAATGGTTTAAATTACAAATGAACTTAAAGTTTTAAAAAACCAGCAGGCAGAGAGTAAGGGCAAGCTTCCTGTTGGCAAGTGCTTCCTGGGACTTTGCCTTACTGTCCCTGGGATGCTCATTTTAAGAGGCCTTCACTGACATCTCTCTGGATGCTAGTACTAAAAGCTTTAATCCTGGGACTCAGCAGCAGAAGCTTTGCCCAGGCACCTCCTGGTAACTTACTTCATTAAATATGGTCCACAAGGTCGCCTCTGTCTTTTCCTTTCAGGTTTTATAAACACCCCGTGAAAGAACCTTCCTAATGTGCATTTTCCTTCTGGGAGTGGCAGTAGGATGTTGGATGCAGGGTCGGGTCAGCTGGGTTCTGGCCCTGGCTTAGGCATCAGTTATTTGGGTCTTTATGGGCAAAAGTGCTTTACATCTTAGGGCTTCAGTTTCCTCATCCGTAAACTGAGGTCCCTTTCCAGTATGGTCTTGCTATGGCAAGCAGGTGCTATCAGGAGAGAATATATAGGCTTTAAAGCCAGAAAGATATGGGGGCACCTGGGTGGCTCAACTGATTAAGCCCCCAACTTTGGTTCACGTCATGATCTCATGATTCGTGAGTTTGAGCCCCACATGGGGCTCTGAGCTGACAGTGCAGAGCCTTCTTGGGATTCTCTCTCTCTCCCTCTCTCTCTCTGCCCTTCCGCCACATATGCACCTATGCTCGCCCACTCGCGCACTCTCTCTCTCTCTCAAAAGAATAAATAAATAAACTTAAAAAAAATAAAGCCTGGCTCTACCAAACTGTCACTTAGTTACTGTGGCTGAAGACTAATTAATTACTTGCATTCTCTGTGGCTTCAGTTTCCTCATCTGCAAATATGAGTAATAATAACAGCCGTCCATCTCTCTTATCACGTTAACCTGCATTTTTTTCCGCAGCATCTGTTATTAACAGAGGTTTTGTTTACCTGACCAATGAGTAAGCTCCAAGAGAGCGGCACTGAGCCCTGCCGGGTAGTTACTGAGCCCACAGCCATTAGAAGTGCTGGAAATACAATAGGTGCCCATAAGCTATTCCTTGAATGCACTTGTATATTAGCCACATGTAGATTAAGTACCTAGAAGCCATCCTGGCACAGGGAGAACCTCTCAATAAATGAGAATTCTTTTTTGTTAGTCTATGGGTATAAATATTTGGGCTCCAGCCTCCAAAACTTTCAGTAAATGATGGAATTGGTGTTGCAATCGAAAACGCTCGGTATTTAAAACAATCCAAAGCCATAATGAGAAAGACAATTCTCATAAAGTTACTCACACCTTTTATAAACAAGTTTTAGTTCCTTCCAGTCAACAAAACTGCTTGTCCTCTGACCACGAGAGAGAACAATCTGGACAATTTCCCGGGTGATCTTTTTCCTCTCTTTGTCAGGGAGAGTCGTGTACCATTTCTGCAGCCGTAATTTCCCCTGTCGACTGAAAAGCAATATGAAATGTATCTAGAACAAATAAAGCACAGAGAAAAACAGAGCTTTATCAGCTACGTCATTCTACATAGACACTGGAAATTAAATGGCAGGGCTTACAAAGGATGCTAGTTATAAACAAATGAAAAAATTCTCACCAGAGTGAAAACGATCTCATCTGCAAATTACATTTAACCCATTAAAGAATAAAGAAATGGGGACATTACAAACATGCCTTATTTATATTCGTGGGGAAAGATAGGATTTGTAAAAAGTACTCCCTTCTGGAGTCACAAATTTATTACATGGAGAAAAAGATACTGAGGAAGCATGTAACTCTTTTGAGAAAACAACAAAATCTTCCTTCCCAAGCCAAAAATAAAGTGTTAAAAAATGGCAGAAGAGTTTGCTCTAAAAATTACCCATCACAACTTGGGCAACCCAAGTTGCCCATCACAACTACAGCAATGTAATGATAGTAGAGAAAAAAAAAGGGGAGAGAAGGGAAGGAGGATAAAGAGTGAGAAAGAAAGAAAGGGACAACATTGTCTTTTTTTTTTTTTTAATAAAAACTATATACATTTAAGGCGTACAACATGATTTTATATCCATGTCTATAGTGAAGTGATTACTATAGTCCAGCTAATCAACATTTCACCTCCTCACATGGTTACCATTTTGTGTGTATGATGACAGACCCTGAAATCTACTCCCTTAGCAAACTCCCAGTATTCAGTCCAGCGTTATTAACTATCGTCGTCATCCTGAAGAGCAGATCTCTAGACTTGCTCATCTTACAGCTGCAACTTTGTACTCTTCAACCAACATCTCATTTCCTCCATTTCCCCACCCCTGGTGACCACTGTTCTAGTCTATATGCCTCTATGAGTTTAACTTTTTAGATTCCACATGTAAGTGAGATCATGCAGTATTTCTATTTCTATGACTGGCTTATTTCATTGAGCAACGTTCATCCAAGATACCACAAATGACAGGATTTCTTTCTTTTTTTATAACTGAAAATATTCTATTATTACCCACCCTCCCACACAAACACACATAAACACACACATATATACCACATTTTCTTTATCCATTCATCTATCAACGGACACTTAGGTTGCTTCCATATCTTGGTTGTTGCGAATAATGTTGCAATGAACTTGGACTGCAGGTATCCCTTTAAGATACTGACTTAATTTCCTTTGGAAATATACCCAGAAGTGAGATTGCTGGATCATATAGTAGTTCTATTTTTAATTCTTTGAAGAACCTCCATACTGTTTTCCATAATGGCTACACCAGTTTGGATTCCCACCAACAGTGTACAAGGGTTCCCTTTTCTCCACATTTTCACCAACACTGTTATCTTTTGTTTTCTTGAGAACAGTCATTCTAATCAGTGTGGGGTGATCTCCTCTCGTGGTTTTGATTTGTATTTCCCTGATGATTAATGATGTTGAGCATCTTTTCATATACCTGTTTGCCATCTGTGTATCTTCTTTGAAAAGTATCTGTTCAAGTCCTTTGCCCATTTTTAAATCAGGATATTTATTTTCTTGCTATTGACTTCAGTTTCTTATATTTTTTGGATATTAACCTCTTAACAGATATATGGTTTCCAAATATTTTCTTCCAGTCCTCGGCTGTCTCTTCACTCTGTTGATTGTTTGCTTTGCGGTGAAAAAGCTATTTAGTTTAATGTAACCTCATTTGTCTATTTTTGCTTTTGTTGCCCTTGCTTTCGGGGCAATATCCAAAATATCACTGCTCAGACCAATGTCATGAAGCTTTCTCTCTATGCTTTCTTCTAGTAGTTTTACAGTTTTAGATCTTAACATTTAAGTCTTCATACATTTTGAGTTGATTTTTTTATATTAAATATAATTTATTGTCAAATTGTTTTCCATACAACATGAGTTGATTTTTTAAAATGGAGTGAGATAAGGTCCAATTTCATTCTTTTCCACATGGGTAACCAGTTTTCCGAGCATCACTTATCGAGAGATTGTCCTTTTCCCATTGTGTGTTCTTGGCACCTTTGTTGAAGATCAAACTAAGTTTGTTTGGTTTTTTTAAGCTTATTTATTTATTTTGAGAGACATAGAGAGTGTGAGTGGCAGAGGGGTAGAGAGAGAGAGAGAGAGAGAGAACCCCAAGCAGGCTCCACATTGTCATTGCAGAACCCAACAGGGGGCTCAATCCCATGAACCAAGAGATCATGACCTGAGCCAAAATCAAGAGTCAGATGCTCAACCAACTGAGCCACCCAAGTGCCCCTCAAACTAAGTCTTACATATAAGCTCTTTACTCCACTTTGTGGGTAACTTGGCTGAGAGCTTTAGAATCAACCATCTCATGTAAATATTGTCACCACAATAGACTGTTAACAGTTTAGTGTGTTGGCCACGTTAGGAAGCAACCCAATCTTGATTTTCAGTGAAGTTTCAAAGTCTGCATTTTAAGTAAATGCCCACATTTCAATGAATTTTAAAAGTTCTAAATAACTAGAAAACACCATAACGTGTAGAAATTTACTTTGCTACCTTGGAGGTATAGTCACTATGCTTCTGGAAATTGTCACATGGTATATAATCTTTATCTGATGGGAGATGACGTTTTCTCCATGTACTGTATGAGAAGAAGTTTAGAATCATAATTTATCATGTTTTTTGCTTTATCCTTTTTTGATAAAATTCATTGTGGAGGTTAATTGTGTCAGGGAGGGAAGAACAATATATACGAGAAACCAAAATTCTTATCATTTTAAAGAATTTTTATAAATAAAATATTCACCTTCTTTTATTGAAGGGGTTTGGCTCTGAATGTCAGGGCATAAGTCATAAAAACTCACTAGGTGGTGATATCTGAGGACCAAAAGAAACCAGGCTCTTTCCCCAGAGCTCCTCCCGCCCCCAATCTATAGAATTTGAGGTCTTCTTAATAAGGTTATATTCTGTCTTACAAAGAAAACATCTCTGAAAACAAGGACTTGAGGGCCACGACATCACAAGTGAGGAGAAAGCAAATGTAAAAGCCCTCCCCATCTAGCAACTTTAAGAAAAATCATCCTCAGGACGTTGGGTGGGAGGATGGGCTAAATGGGCGATGTACATTAAGAAGGGCACTTGTTGGGATGAGCACTGAGTGTTATACGTAAGTGACGTGTCACTAAATTCTATTCCTGAAATCATTATTACACTATATGTTAACTAACTTGGATTTGAATTAAAAAAAAAAAAAAGTCATCCTCAGTCTGGAGTTTTAAATATCTGTTGAGAACACAGCCTTTTCTTTTTTTTTTTAAATTTTTTTTAATGTTTATTTATTTTTGAGACAGAGAGAGACAGAGCATGAATGGGGGAGGGTCAGAGAGAGGGGGAGACACAGAATCTGAAGCAGGCTCCAGGCTCTGAGCTGTCAGCACGGAGCCCGACACGGGGCTCGAACTCACGGACCGCGAGATCATGACCTGAGCGGAAGTCGGACGCTCAACCGACTGAGCCACCCAGGCGCCCCGAACACAGCTTTTTCTATCAACACAGGTATAAATAACTCCATAATGGAACACCGTTACCGTTTTCTAAGAATTAACCTGAGAAAGATATTTTTACTTCCAAGAAGAGATCATAGTAAAAGTGACATTCTAAAAGGGCAAAGTTGAATGGTGACAGAATCATAAAACCTCAGCATCTTGAGAACAAGACTCAGCTGTGGGTCACCACCAATGGAAAAATCTATTCAATCCAATGTCTAGAAAATGGTCAGACCTTCACTAGAGAAATGAAATCCACACATTTTGTTAGTGTTCACTTTGCATTTCCCGTCAGAAAATTCTTTTCCTCCCATCTGTTACCATTTACACCAATTTTCCCTGATTTTTATCCAGAGAGTATATTAAAACACAATATCACGCTATCCCAGGAGTAATAGCTAACCCTTCACATATTTGAAGATGCCTTTTGGTCTACCATAAATCTTTTTCCTTCCAGAAGAAATAAGTCTGGTTTCATGTTGTCTTCATATTGGTTCTATTTGCAGATCTCGAAATCACTCTTGTGATTCCTCCAAGATTTCTCCATAGGCTAAATGTTTACTTTTAACTGGGGGCGCTCAGATCTATGTCCAAAGTTCCAGTGAGAGGCTGGAACTAGGTCTGAGTTTAATTGTGGATTCCTTTCTAGTTCTTCTACGTTGCAACATGCTATCAAGATTGGGTGCCTGCCTTTGTTTTATCTTTGAGAGAGGAAGAGAGAGAGAGACAGAGAGAGAGAGAGAGAGAATATGAGCGGAGGAGGGGCAAAGGGAGAGAGAAAAAGAGAGAATCTCAAACAGGCTCCAGGCCCAGCAGAGCCCAACTCAGGGCTCGATCTCATGACTATGAGATCATGACCTGAGCTGAAATCAAGAGTCAGATGCGGGGCGCCTAGGTAGCTCAGTCTGTTGAGCATCCAACTTTGGCTCAGATCATAATCCCACAGTTTGTGAGTTCAAGCCCCGTGATGGGCTCTGTGCTGACAGCTCAGAGTCCGGAGCCTGCTTCGGATTCTGGATGCCGTGTCTCCCTCTCTCTCTGTCCCTCCCCCGCTCACACTCCGTCTCTTTCTCCTTCAAAAATAAATAAACATTAAATAACTTGAGCCGGATGCCACCCAGGAGCCCCTGCTGGCCTTCTTAAACATGGATCACCGATGTAGGACAATGAACAAAGAGCAACTCCTTACTCTAACCATGAGTTCAAAGAGAAGGATGATTAGGAACGTGATACACACATCTATAAAGCCGGTATAAAATACAGAAATGCGTTCCAAATTCAAAGGAAGCAACAAATTGATTCAAGTTTATCCCATAATTGCACTGCATAAGGCAGTGTTGAGAGATTTAGTCCTCTCAAGTTCTGCTCTGAAACGAAACATGGCTTGTGTTGCGGTGTCTGGTGTCTATCACACCCCAGAGTTAATGGTCTCGCTTGAGAGAACCGGCAGAATGAGCTGTCTGAACTGTGGTGACGCACAAGAGTTCGTCACCTCCCG